GCCGAAACTCACGCATATTTTCGGCCACGCCCACAAAAACTATAGAACATTTTCGAAAGTTTATTCGTGAAATATTTCGTAAGTTTTTCTTGTCGTGTAAAACAGGAAAAGTTGACTTACGAAATATTTCGGCAACAATTTCGTAAGCAATTTCATGAAGAAACTTTGCCGTGTAAAACGGCTCTTAGGGGTGACTCCATTAGCTCTGTTCACTCCACTCCAACTCCGCGCTGAATAGCCGAACCCAGCTCATGTTATTATGTAGCTATTTCAAACTATTTTTAATGTAAACACTAACATACTGCATAGTTTAGTTTTGCAATTCTAGGAGTGTTTAGTGTGCGCATATTTTTAGGGGTGATGTATGTAGACCTGCTAAATAGGCTCGTTCAGTGAGGTTTCATTAACCACGTTTTTTGATATTTTTATGGAGTATTACTCACATATAGCACACACAAAAAAAATCAGCGCAATTGGATAAATATTAAAAAAGTTATGCGGCTTTGAATAATAAAACATTAGGCCTCAGAAATTTATCGCTTAGAGATGGTATGACGTCATCTCTCGAGTCAAGATGGGCTAAAGGCCGTCACACGACCAACGTGAGAGATGCAGTGACGTCACCGCGTGTTTCAAAACTTCCAAATCTGGAGCGTTTTGATAATTTATTTAAATATGAACAAGGGCTCGGAAAATTATGAAATTTTGCACAACTGCTAAACTCAATACCTACGCTCTTTTAGAATATGTAATAAAAAAAATATGCTGTACGAGCCTATTGGTTTAAAGTTACGTGGCAACCTTGTCTACTATCCTTGTAGAGACAGACTATTTTGCTTTTAAGGCCGAGTTCGGCTTTGCACTCCACGGAGCGAAACGGTATGAACAGGGATATCGTGACGGTGACGTCATACGCAGAGTGCGCCCTGAAGTCTGTGTTTTTTTTAAAGATAAAAGTCAAAATGCCATTATGTTGGCAATACAATGAAAAATTGTCAATGTTTTCAAATTTTTTATGTGTAGAAAAGGCTTCAACATAGTTACTAAATTTTTGACTTGGGGAATTATCTTTTAAAAAGACAGACTTTAAGCCAAACACAGATCGAAACAAATCCTCAAACCCTTGCGCAGTCACTAAACTCAAAAAAAAATGTTTCGTTTTGATTTTAATTTTATTTTACTAGTAAACCGTAGTAAACGAGTAGGTGAATTAGTAATGGACCTGAAATAAAAGTAGAAATCTAGGAAAATATCCGCGATAACTAATTTCTCTGGTGCTCCTCCATACATCCATCCATCCAAAAGAGAGCAAGCTCAGGGTCAGAGTACGTGCTTGATTGTAACCAAAACGCAAAAGAGAACACTCTGAGAGCTAAAACAAACAGGATCTTATCGTTTCGAGCGCGCTTGAACTGCTCGAAGTTTGCCGAGTGTAAAGCCAGTGCATGTGCAGAAGCTAGCTTCTGGATAGGAAATATAGGAATTGGCAAATTAGCTATCCAAGTGCTCCTAAATAGTCGAAAAAAAAACAGTCAGTCAGATTTTTTTTATAACCAGGAATAGGAATAGGTACTAGGGGATTACTGGTTTTACGTGTACTTAGGTGGGGAATTTGCAGCGAATCTGATGACAGTGGCTAGAATGTTGAATTGGATTTGGATGCTATTCGAGCAAGAACACTTATTGCTTATTGAGCTGAAATTGTGTGCCATTTTAGCCGCAGGCCTCAACTCTTGACATAAAAATGTATAAGCCGAGTTTAAAACAGTATAGGTTAAAAAAACGAATTGCTAAACGTGATATACTTGTTAAAATCACCTTTTCTACATTTAAAATCCATGAAAAAACAAGCACAACCTGAATCGCAAGCATCCCATCGAGGCCTGCGGGTGACGTCACCACTATAAGAGGCTTTTAATAGTACCGACGTCACTCGCAGGCCTTGCCGACTCGAGAATTGGCGAACGTACGCCTTATGAGGATAAGCAATCTTATTGGGATTCTTGCTATTCAAGTGTTTCCAAATGGTCAAAAAAATCAGTTAATCATTAAACTAAATAGAGATTTTTTCTCATTATTAGGAAAAAACTTGAATTAGTTATTTATTATTTAAATTACAGATTTTTTTTTGCATTATTAGGGAACTGAACTACTGGCCTTACGTTTACTTGGGGGTGTAGAGATTTGCAGCGAATCTGATAACAGTGGCTATAATCGTTAATGTTGTATTGAAATTAGGTGTTATCTAAGTGCTCCTGAATGGTCGAAGAAAAACTGCAACTTTTTAGGAGCACTTAAATAGCACCAAATTCCAATACAACAGCATTTTAGTCACAGTTATCAGATTCGCTGCAATGCAAGACATCCTCAAGTAAATTTAAAGCCAGCAATTCCTTAATAATGAAAAACAAAAATCTGTACCTACTTCAGTTAATAATTAACTGATTCAAGTTTTTCTTCAAATACCTATAAGCACTTAAATAGCACTAATTCCTATCCATAAACATTTTAGCTTCTGATACAGCACCAACTAAACGTGAAGCCAATAATTTGCCAATAATGAAAAAAAATCTATAAATCATTTAATAATTAACCGATTCAAGTATTTCGTTGACAATTTGGGAGCACTTAAATAGTACCTAATTTCTATCCAGGAACATTTCAGCCTCTAACACACCACCATAAGTAAACGTGAATCCAGGAATTTCATAATATTGAAAAAAAATCTGTAATTCAGTTAATAATTAACCGATTCAATTTTTTCTTTGACTATTTAGGAGCATTTTAAAAAGTATAGGTACCTATTATGTAAATTCTGATACCAAAGAAAAATTTTAAAAAATATTTTCACTACGGGGGACTGCTATAGGTATTTCATGTAAACCTAGCAATCCCTTCGTTTTTTTCTACAATGGGACTGCTAGGTTTATTGACCTAATATTCTGGAAAATCAATAAATAACCTCATACAATTTCAAATCTGGGGAGATACCTACTTTGGATAAGTATATGTACTATTAACTTTACATTTATAAATAATTTTACATGTCTGTATAGACTCTACGCTTTAATAATAAGTATATATTTCTAAAATCTTGGCTCTACTGTAGTTAATAAAAATAAAGTCCACAACCATTCATTAAATAAATACAAAAACATTTAATTTATTTTTATTATTTATCAGCATCAGCTGATTACATGTTCCGCGCGCCCGTCGCGTACACAAACCCTTCAACTACTCTTTGTTACTCTTCCGCGATCATGTAGTCCAGGAGGTGGCGCCAAAAACATGCAAGAGTTTTCGCAAGGCGGATATTTTCAAAATAGGTCGTACTTTAGTGCTAGAATGCTAGTGTACAGTCAGCACTCACAGTTCCGGGACAGCTGGCTCTGGGACGCGGGCAAAGTTGTAATTTTAAGAAGCATCTAAACTGTTTTCTCAAAGCTCAAAATTTATAGAAATTTTGCACATTATCTGCTTGAAGGTCACAGATAACGTATGTAAATCGTCAGACGTCTAGTTCGTTGCAAAAAGGGGGTCAGACGTCCTCAAAGTTTTTATTTTATGGCATTTTCTTCAAATATATTTGTCAAATACCTGCAAAAATATATTTTGACAGGACACCGAAGAAAATGCCATAAAATAAAAACTTTGAGGACGCCTGACCCCCTTTTTGCAACGAACTAGACGTCCGACGGTTTACATACGTTATCTGTGACCTTCAAACAGATAATGTGCAAAATTTCTATAAATTTTGAGCTTTGAGAAAACAGTTTAGATGCTTCTTAAAATTACAACTTTGCCTGCGTCCCAGAGCCAGCTGTCCCGGAACTGTGAGTGCTGACTGTACACTAGCATTCTAGCACTAAAGTACGACCTATTTTGAAAATATCAGCCTTGCGAAAACTCTTGCATGTTTTTGACGCCAGCTCCCCAACTAATGTTAACTGATCCCGACCATAGCCGATCGAGTTCGTGAGTAGACCATTTGCGGATTAGCACAAATGCACAGTAGCACAAATGGAGCCATCTCTCTTCAACTACGAACACAAACCGCTAACGAGACCGTTGATGACGTCGACAACGGTTCAACAACATATGAACTTGATTCCAAAAATCGAAGCCGATGAGCAACCCTGTAGTAGTATGTAAAATCCTTGGTGTGTAGCCTAGCCGAGTTCAGAAATGCGCGCTGTCCAATATCCAACGCTCTGTTTTTTTAAAGTGTTAATTTTATTATGATACAACCAAACAGCAAAACAGCTTAATTTATAAAATCTTGGAACCGAAAAAAACCGGTAAGAACCGATTAATTTATATCGGTTCCGGTTCTGCCTGCCCTACAACATTTCTATGAAATATGGGTTTCGTTCCGGTTCCGGTCCGCAAAAAAAAACGGTTTCGTTCAGGTTTTCGGTCCAATATCGTTCCGGTCCGGGTCACTGTTAAAAACTTTCAAGAAACGTAGCATTTGCACTCAAAGTGCTCCATACGCACTCTGGCTGTTCTAGTATGCCTTTTTAGGTCTGAGGAAAACTCAAGGAGTAACTATAAATGCAGCCCGAAAATTAACCCACAAGCACAGCTGAATCGAAAGCATTCCATCCAGTCCTGCGGGTGACGTCACCACTATAAGCTGCTAATAGTGGTGACGTCACTCACAGGCCCTGCTGACTCGAGAATTGGCAAACGTACGCCTTATGAGGATGAGCACTCCTATTAGTTTTCGATTCATTGCACAAAATTTTATGCTACACTGTTCAAATGTTGAAATCAAGTTTTAAATTAAGACGACTAATGGTCTTAGATAAAATGTTACATCTTTCACGAACACTTGTACAGAGCTGTGATGGAGTATCTAAAATGACGGACTATCGATTTTAAGATTAACTGCTTGAAATTTGGTCCGCCAGGCGCAAATCGATTTCTGAACACACTCGTACTAAACTTAAGTCCAATAGTTGTCAAGCGTTATCAAAAAGTTTCAAAAAGTGTTTGAGGTGAAATGTGAATGAATAATTAGAAACGATTCCTATTTTCGTCTAGTCCTAGATAAAAGATAAGAGTCTTTACTTCACAGTGAATTCTGAAACGAAAATTTCTCAATGTCACTGAAATCGCCAGTATCGATATTACACGAACTGGCAGCCAAAAGGCATATGAAGAGTCCCGAATGGGCAATATCACTAACCGAATCTGGTTATTGTAATCGGGCGCGTTTCATGTGCACGGTAGAATTCAATGGTCGGAAGGTCGTCGGAATTGGTTCATCAAAGAAATTTGCTAAAAGAAATGCGGCTATTGATATGTTAGAACTTTGCGGTTTTCAAGTGGACAATTTCGAAGAAGGAGAGGTAAATTCGGTCGCATAATTGGTTTCAAATCAAATATTAATTTCGAGGATTCACAGGAAATTGAATGGCACGATGACGACAATAATTTACAGAATATTGAGGAAATAGTTTTTGATGGTCCCGCAACAAGTTTTCAAGCAAATTATAATGAGAAAGGCGCGTCGAAAAGTAATGATGTAAGTGGGTTATTTATGGTTCCTTAATTCACAATTTTGTTCCATTCGGATTTGAGTCCAGAGGAAATTTCTCGCGTCTCAAATGTTTCAAAACTGGTTTAAGTAATGTCACAATGACGTCATAATTTCTCGGCGCGAGAAAATTGTTTGAAAACGTGGTTTGGATTGTATTTCGAAACGGTTTCATCCAATTTTGACGTGACGTCACGGGTTTATCGCGAAAATGTAGTTTTTCAAAAAAGTTTTGAACTACTTTCAAAAAAGTGGACGCGAGTAAACGCCTCAGATTTTTGCAACAAGGTCTGATTAAGTATCACTTTAGGTCAAAAAAACGATTTCCTAAACGTAGAAATCACCTTTTCTACATTTTAAATTGACGAAAAAATTAACTACCAATCACAGTCTGAATCGCTTCAGCGAGCTCTGCAGGTGACGTCACGTCACTACTATTAGCTGCTGCTATTGCTAACGTCACCCGCAGACCATAGCTATCGACTCGAGAACTGGCGAACGTACGCCTTATTAGGATGAGCAATCCTGGCTGGGATTACGACGAGTTCGGACGAGTAGAACTCTACAATCCTAGTTTGATGGAGTGCTGTTGGGATTGCTCAACCTAATAATAGGGCGTACATTCACCTGGGGTCGTATTTTCGAATGTTTTCGTATACGAAATTGCATACGATATCGAATGCTCTCCATTTAATTTACATTGCTGTCAGTCAAATTTCGTGTACGAAATGTACTCGAATGGTTTCGAAAATCGCACCCCAGTTCTTGAGCCGGCAGCTAATCTGCGGGTGACGTCAACCTATCAGCAGCTGATAGTGTTGTCGTCACCTGCAGGCCCCGATGGATTGCTTGCGATTCAAACTGTACTTACTAGTTAATTTTTTCGTCGATTTTAAATGTAGAAAACTTGATTTCAACGTTTAGGAATTCGTTTTTTTGACCTATAATATTTTAAACTCGCAAAATGCATTTTACGCCAAGAGTAGAGCTGCGACTGACGTCACAAATAAGGGGGTGGGTCGCGTAGATATGGCAGACACTTTAGTTCTTTTCACGTGGCTCCGGTTTAACTAACCGGGTTACTAAACGGTTAGAGAAATGACATACCGTTTTCTAACCCGGTTACAAAGTGAAGTGATCGATACCACTCGAATTTGAGCTGTATGTTGCGGTTTGTTAAACTGGAGCCACGTGAAAAGGGGTTTTCAGCTCAATAAGCAGTCCTTTTTGGTTAAGTGTTCTTGCATATTACCCAAAAAGTGAAATCAAAGTTCGAATTCGCATTTGAGATTTGAGTACCTAGGCCCGGACTCCAGTGTTACTTTACTCCGAACAGCCAAACGTAAGCGGAGTCACCCTGTTAGTCTATTTCACCAGCGTATACAAGGGGGGGGGTAATGGGGGTAATTACCCTCCCCAGGATCGTTGCGATGGACGAAAAAAATGTACCCTACACCTTACAAATAAATCTATTTTTTATATTTTTACTTTTCAGCAACTGGCCCTAACTTGTTCTCTAGTTTGCACAGTCCGCACTGCCCGCATGCCATTTATAGCGAATTCTAGTCAAAGGGATAGTGCACACTTAGTGTATTCATATCTTTCTCTATCTCTACTAGCTTGCATAAGAAAGAGATCAATACATTTTTTGTATTAATTCTACCAATAGAATTCGCTATAATTAAAAAGTTTTAGGCGAATCTTGTAGCGAATTCCATTGGTAAAATCAGTCCAACTAAATGTATTTCTATCTCTTTCTTATACAAGCTGGTAAAATAGGACACGAATACACTCAGTGCGCACTAACCCTTATTCCAATTCGCTATCAGAGTTCGGTTTCGTTATTTGTTGGTAGTACAGAATATATTTACCTAACAAGTGCGGAAAACAAATTTTTCCGCACGAGTCTGTCGTTCACCGAAAAACGCGTAACGGAATTCGGTGAAGCAGCCGAGTTCGGAAAACAGATTTTCCGCATGTGTTAGGTACAATAGTTTTTCTACAGACGTGCGGAAATAAGTAGGTACATATACCTACATAATTTGTAGTAATTTATTGTTTTTTTTTTGACAGCAGTGCGGAACAGATTTGTGCGGAACAGATTTTTCCGCACCGATATCCGTGCGGAAAAAATTTCGCCGCACCGTGCGAGAAAATCGATTTTCCGCACTGTTTAATTGTCCTCACTCTCGTAGAAAAAAAATGTTTTGAAGGGTCAGAGTAAACGTTTTTGGGCGTGGCACCCGAAAAGAAATGGGCTGATTACCCCCCCCAGACGCATGGGCTGGATACGCCGGTGGTCTATTTACGCTAAAAAATGATGCCTGACTGCGTATTGAATAAGAAAACCGAAACTAGATAGTAGAACAAGAGTCGTGTCGTAACACTATCGATTTTTACAAAAATCTGTTAAATGTATCGACTTAATGTCGTTTACTTTAGTACTAATGGCGTATTCGACACCGGCACTAGTGCGCACTCGGCTCGCATTTTGCGAGTGCAGTGCAATAATTTATGTTCGGATTGATTCAGCTCATAAGCGAGCAAACATTTCTCGTGTTCGACTACCCGAGCTAAGCGCGGGCAGGGCAATACTTTATGTTCGGATTGTTAGCGTGGCTCATCCAGCGTTCGAACTTTTTGGAACTGTAATTTTTGGCGGTTCAAGTAGATTGCACTGGATTTTTTGAAAAAATAACCTCAAATTTCCAATCCGTCTTTTGTTTTACTAATTATTTATTTTGCGTTTTTGAATGTTTGTTTACAAAAAAGTTTCTGAAATATGAATAATAAAAAAAGGAAATTGTTGTTATTATTAGCTGCAGATGTATTATCATCAAGTAGTAGTAGCAGTAGCTCAGAAAGTGATGATGATGATGATGAATCAATTATGGCTTTTAGTTTTCCTAAAAAGAGACCAAAGATTCAAAACTATTTGGATGCCGACATTGCCGGAAATTGAATCGGAAATCTTAAATAAATTTCAAAATTTATCAATTTGAGCTTTGAGGTTAAGTGAAATTGAGAAAAAAGTAAACGCAATCCAAGTGCAATAATGGGGCACATACGAACGCTTCAACTCGGATTTTCACGGAGCCAGTTCACTATTTTTGATAATTCGCTCTGACCCAGCGCGCGATCGAATCGCCAAATACCCGCTCTTGATTTTAGTGCAATTGCACCATCATTTTTCGAGCTCGATCGGAGCCAGCGCTGGATAGTCGAATACGCCATAAAAGTACTCCATAGTAACTCCGATCATTCAGGTATGGCTCTTGTGTGTAAAATAAAATAAATTGATTAACAACTTCACGTTCGGCTAAATGGAGTGGAGTAAATAGAGCTCATTCTAAAAATTCCAACTTGGAATAAAGTTTTTCAGGGTAGAGTATGTGGAGTAGCTGTTTTTGCATAATCTTTGGCGAGGTCGAGGAGATTGGCTTGTTCGGTAATATTGTTGAATAAATTAATTAGTTTATATTCTTATTAATAAAATAGTAATAAAAAAAACATTAAAATAGACAAATTAACCTACGACTTTTCCATTGATAGTTGATCCCTGATTGCTTCAAATAACAACAATAAAATGCAATAATTATTCCATTCATCCTAAGCAGAAAAATTGAAAATCATGATTTTTTTGCTCGAATTCTAGGTTTGGGTCGTTCGTGACAAAAAACTGCTCCGACTCCACTCCAACTGCATGTTGATTCTTGATGTACCGAACTCAACTATAGAAACCAAAAATTGCCATTCGACGTTGAACTTCTGGTGGAGTGAGCTCGATTTACTTCACTCCAAACAGCCAAGTGTAAATGAAGTCACTCTGCATAGTGCGTACGGAGTACGGAGTAGAGGAGTGCGCGGATTAAGCAAGCCGAACCCAGATATTACAACAAAAGTCTTATCCCTATTGATATATTTTGAAATTTGATGAGAAAAGAGATGGATTATACGGATTATAGTCTATTTCCCAACCTGCTCGGAGCCCGAGGCCCTGCATATTTGTCACGCGGTAAGATTTCTATGATCGGTCCATGAATCTCACATTTCGGAACATCCCGACCGAATCCTAAGGAAATACTTTTTGTCCGGATTTAATACAGTGATTTTATCCTCTTGCTTTGAGTTCAAGTTAATATGAAAATCCCTTTCAGTCAGATAAATATTGGAACGTAATCATCCCAAACAAAGTTTATTTGTGAGTGTTATGCCGGACGACAAAGACAGAACCTTCGTTCCAATGAGAACGCTGCTCCCCTGTTTCGAGAATAAAGTTCCTGCTGAGTGGCTGAGCTAAGCCGCTGGGACCGCGATGGTGCGTACGATAAGTCCGAACTACTGACCCGTCATTAATGTCGCACTTTTTACACCATTCGTACCGTGCAGCGTTCTATTTTCCGGTGTAGTTCAGATGATTGCGTTCCAAAACATAACTGCACCGCACTAACGCTAACCGGTTCAGACAAATCGTACGCACCATGAATGTACCCAATGAGTAGTTTAAATTAATGTGTTCATCTTTCTCTTTCACATCCTGTAGAAATAGATGCGAAATTCATGAATCTGTAACTGGAGCAGTTAACTGTCAATAGAAACGGAACGCGGCCTCAAATGACAAATCCCATAACCCATAACCTTAAAATTTGTGTCCAGTAACAACAACAAAAATATTATATATTTATTTATTTTCTAGTATAGTTATAGTGATCAGATTATTGCTTTTATTGAAAATGCTGTAAAAAGGTGAGTTTATAAAGAAATAATTAAAAATTATTCATTAACAAATCAAATAAATAAGCAACCAAGTCA